AGGAATTTATCGGGAAAATGCAGTTAACTATTAGAGACAAACAAACTCTAAAACTCATACATTTATCTGATTTACAAAAGCAAAACAATTATTTGAAAGTTTTTTGAATGACTTATATATTATTTATCATTTAATTTCGTTGTTTATATGTTTAATGATGTATTCACTCGCTTTGATGGGCTGTCTATCGCTAAATAAATTATTGAATTCAATATATTAAGAGATCTCAGCCACCATTTGAGGGACAATTTGTTGTCTGCTTTTTATAATATGTACAACTTTTTTGTTTTTCAATACTTGTAGTCAATTATGTCGAGACATGAGTTAATGATTTTCAATGATATTTAGTTTTTACAAATTCACGCAATTTATTAAAAAAAATAGTTGACAATTAGTTTTTGCTTTTCCTACCGATGCAATAGATTTACTAATTGGACTCTCATTGAGAGCTCCTATAGTCCCGGTTTAGTGTTCAGTATAGTCTCAAATTGTTTCAAACCTTATGGTATTTTTCCTTAAATTACTTAATGGTTTGATTTCCGATAAATTCTAAGCCTTTTTGCTATAAATTACAAAATATATATTCGGTCTAATTTTTATTATCCATTTAAAGCCCAATTTCTCTTTCATTGAACAACAAAAAAAATGTCTAATTTTCTCCATTAATTATTCTTATATTCTATTTATATATACTATACATAAGAATATATAAATGCATTGAATATGTAGTAAAAATGTACATTTAATTTAATTCTCTATGATTTAGTGTTTTCTTTTGTGTAATATATAAAAATTGCCGTTAAGAATGCCGTTTTCGGTAAAAGTATTATGCTAAACAAAACTGCTAACCAAAAGTAACATAAACATTATAATTTTAGCGTATTGTAAACTAATTTAGTTCAAGATAAGTCTTTTTGTAAGAAATATTGATTTATTTATAACTAATTATATGTTTATAATTGCTTTCAAACAGAGAGAGAGAGAGAGAGAGAGAGAGAGAATTTGTGACAAACACTGGAGTATTTTGTGATTAATTTTTCAGTCAATCATTTTGTAGTTTAAATACACGAGAATTCAAGGCTTATTTCACTCGCAAAAAATTCTCAGAAAATTTCCGTTTAATTCAATGTTTAGGACGTGTTTTAAAAGCAATTTTATTATCACTTTTATATCAGTGTTTAGTCGCAAAAATAGTAATTATATTTGAAAATAAGCCAAAACTTGAAATTATTATTACGATTATTTCCCTTATACCATATCTTCTTTATACCATATTTGTGATGCAATGCTATGCTAACGACAAACATATTACCAGTACTTGTATTGAGTGCTTACTGTACGCCTACATCTCATATTACATGCATCACATTTGCTTATTATGAGTCAAGTGTTTTGACTCAAACATTGCGTACAGTTAGCACTCAATACAATAGCATTGCAACTATGGTATAAAGAAGATATGGTATAAGGGAAATAATCGTACTGTATTATATTATGAGTCAAACAGTTATTTATATGAAAAATTTGCATAATTTTAGCATAAGTTTTGACATTCAATAAGAAGTAATTCCCCGACTATTCCTATTGAGCGACACTTTTTGTCGTCAAACAAAGTCACGGCAATAATGAGTGAAAAGCAAACAGTTGTAGTCGTCTTATCGGTGGCTGTCATAAGCCTATTGTCCATCGGTTTAGTCGAGTGCTGTTCCTGTCTGTGGAAACCACCGGAACAGCACTTCTGTGACGCGGATTTTGTGGCACTCGTTGTGCCGAAGAATCGCAGCGAAGGCAACGATTTTGTCANTTTATAATTAGGAAAAATTCAATAATATAAGAGTAATACACCTTTCGGTTGGTTTCATATGAGAGCCAATGCATAGAAAAGACTGCGAAACCATTTTTTGGGCACAAAATCTCATTCATCAACAGACGAGACATCGAATTACATGATATTAATTAAGAAATTGAACTCAAAATACGAAGAGTAGAGGAAAAGGGAGAGAGAATGGATGGAGCCATGCATTGGGAGAGAGAGAGAGAGAGGTTATAGTTACTAAACGGGCGTAAATTACAATTATGTTGCCAATGATTCTGCGATTTAAGTCACGTAAAAATTTCCCAAATAATATAGAGATCGGAAATATATATTCCGGTGCTTAGAGACAATGAAATCTTTGTATTAAATACAGGGAATTATATGAGTTATTCGTTGTTTTGTCATTTCATAGATTGTTGACGATCTATGTAATAAATTGTCAAACGTTAAGTTCTGAGTAAACAATTGTGATATACATGTATAATATCATATAACTTATATAAGTGGCACTCATTTAAAGACATAATCTAATGTTCATTTATTATACATACGTTTATTATTAATAAATTTATACACAAAGACATTGCGAATAATACAAGTTTTTACCTAAAAGTAAATACCAATTAAAACCAACAAACTATGTCTCCGACACTGATTTTTGCATTACTTCTGACACTCTCTGCGGTCACATTCGGTGAGAAACTCATATATTTTCAAACTATTTACTAAAAATGTCAATTTTTCTGAGTCTCTAAAATTAAAAATTTAATTTAATTGTTAACCAATGTATGTCTCGATGTATGTATCGATAGGCCAGAGCCAGAACCAGGACTGCGGGCCAAACGAAGTGTACAACTCGTGCGGGAGTTCGTGTCCGGACACGTGTGAGACGGTGTTGAAGGGCAACAAATACCAACAGACGTGTACAATGCAGTGCGTGAGCGGCTGTTTCTGTCGCGACGGACTCGTCAAAGACGGCTCAGGAAAGTGTGTGTCCACTGATGTCTGTCGACACAAAGAACCCGTCGTCAGAGACAGAGACACCGATTCCGACGGCTCTTCCGCCATATCTGGTCTCACCATTCGCTCGCAATTTTGCCTATTTATCACATTTAGTGTCTTTGCCTACAAATACTTTTTATAATTTAATACATAATACTGTATATCTTTTCATAACATTTTATATGTGCTTTTAATTATTAAATATATGATTTATTTTATGTATTAAAAGTGTGTTTTATATAAATTTCTTGTATTAAAGTATTTTTATTTTTATAAATTTTATAACAAATGTGTGACAATGTTAAGATCCTGGTACTTAATTGTTATTATTGTATAACTATATAACATAAACTGATAGAGAAGTTATAAACACTTTTATATTTATAGATTATAACCATTTATCAGTAAAATAAATATACAATAAAAACTTTATTAATTAAATAAATTTTTCTAATTAATATACGCTAGAAAATTGTATTAAAAGTTAATAATTACACAAATAGTTTACATTAATGTCCATTATTTTCAAATAAACAAAAACTTTAACATTATTTTTACTGTATTAAAATGATAATCAAACGTAAGTATTCCTATCATATTTTAATTAAAATTTTACAATAAATTTTAAAAATTATTATTATAATGTCAACTAATTTTATAGTAGATTTTCTAGTGTTGCACTTATGGACAATTGGGAGTATAATTAAGGGACAAGACTATGAATATAAATGCAAACTAAAAGATAGTGGTATTGTATGTGACGCTGAGAACAAGGAATTCAATATAAACACAGAATTTACAAAATTAAGCGCAGAATTGGATGAAAACAGCAAAATATTTAAAATGTTGGAAATATATAATACAAACATCGATACAATACCGGAAAATGTCTTTTTAGACATCGCTTTCAATTCAATCAAAATATTTGGGGCAAAAAAGTTAAAATCAATTCATACGAAAGCATTTGGAGATAAAATTATAACTCATTTGAATAACCAATTCTTGATTGAAAGGCCGACTAAATTGATAAATAATGAACCGGATTATGATTTATATAAAGCTCTCAACTCATTATCAAACGTTAAATCAATTCAAATATCTTTGGCTGAAAAGATGTTTCATATAATCCCTGACAATGCGTTTAGTGAACCACAAAACAGTTTACAATATTTAGTTTTTGATTCAATTGAAATTGGATTCTACAGCGGATATGGATTATCTAGTATTGGACAAAATAGTTTTATTGGATTATCTCATTTGACTTCACTATCTTTCAGACACATTGCTATTCAACAAATCCACAAAAATTCATTTGATTTCGATATTGAATCCAATGATGTTTTGACTATTAATTTAGAGGACAGTCATATCGAGGACGCAATGCTTGGAAATGATATATTTTCTGGAGCCCAACGACCACTTACTATAAATTTAGGTATTTTTAATAAAATTACAATTTCTTAATTAATCAAAAAACTAATTTTTCACTAATATATTACATTAATTTAGATAATAATCCAATTATATTGTATTTTCAATTCAATTGCAGCTATCAACAATATTCGGTTTATAAGAAAATATACATTTGAAAAGTATTTAAATGAGAATAACAAGAATTCGTTGAAATTATATGATAATCTCATTAATTGCGATACAATTGACTCTCTTTTGTGGATTTTAAAAGATTCAGCAAAATATTCATCACAAATATTTGGTGCCTATTGTAGTAGTGATGGCACTTCCATTTGGGACATCAAAGTTCCCGATTATGAATACAAGTGTCATATCATAGATAATGGCATATTATGTGATGCAAAAGGAAATACATTTGAAATTATAGCAGAATTCAAGAAACTGAGCGCAGAATTGGACGAAAATAATAAAATATTTCAAATGTTGGAAATATATAATACAAACATCGATACAATACCTGAAAATGCCTTTTTAGACATCGCTTTTAATTCAATCAAAATATTTGGTGCAAAAGAATTAAAATCAATTCATACGAAAGCATTTGGAGATAAAATTATAACTCATTTGAATAACCAATTCTTGATTGAAAGGCCGACTAAACTGATAAATAATGAACCGGATTATGATTTATATAAAGCTCTCAATTCATTGTCAAACGTTAAATCAATTCAAATATCATTAGGAGAAGCAATTCTTCATGAGATCCCCGACAATGCGTTTAGTGAACCACAAAATAGTTTACAATATTTAGTATTTAATTCAATCAAGTTTGGAGTCAGCAGTGGATATGGATTATCTAGTATTGGAAAGAATAGTTTCATTGGATTATCTCATTTGATTTCACTGTCTTTCAGACACGTTATCATTCAAAAGATGTCTACAAATTCATTTGACTTGAATGAGGAATCCAATGATGTTATGACTATTAATTTAGAGGACAGTCATATCGAGGACACGATGTTAGGCAATGATATATTTTCTGCGTCCAAACGACCCCTCGCTGTAAACTTAGGTAAATATAAACTTAATTTAACAAAAAGTTAATTATAGTTTCATTTATAGCAACAAATAAAATTCAATATATAAAAGAGGATGTATTCGGAGCATTTTTGAATGTGAATAAACAAAATCAATTGCTATTACAAGATAACCTTATAATGTGTGATGAAATTGATCATCTTCTATGGATTTTAATTGATCCCGATAATTATTCAAAACAAATTTTTGGTGCAGTTTGTAGTAATGGAACTTCATTATGGGATTTAACTCACCCAGATCAGAATACACCGATAATTACTCCTACAACTATACCCACAACTATGCCGACAACTATACCCACAAGTTTACCCACAACTATACCCACAACAATACCCTCTACTATACCCTCTTCTATACCCTCTACTATACCCACAACGAGTCCCACAACTCATTCATCGGCTGTTAAAAGTTTGAGCAAAAATGGTTCATTTGTTGTAATTTTCATAATTTATCATTTAATTTATTATATGTAAATTATTGTCTTTAAAAATTACTTATAATACACTTTTGAATTAATATTTAAATATTTATTAAATTTTAAGACATTTGAACTATGTCGCCCATACTATCTAAATACTGTTTTGACATCAAATTAAACCAAATAAACATTTTGTATGATTTTATCATAAAATATTCAATAATTATATACATATTAACCGCCAAACCTCGACGTATAGCTGGAGGGCCTGTTTGGGCACAACTTTCTATATTCACTGTTAAATCCGTTCTCTTCTTCGGCTGTGATATCATTCAAGAGCTCGTTGTGACCACATATGGAAATCCTGGGCTTTCTTTGTATGACATAACCGGAGATAACGTACGGCTCGCCTAATGATAGCTCAACGCCGCAGA